GGGGGTTTCTGGGAGTTGAAGTCCACCCATCTGAAAGTCGTTAAGGTTGAGAAACACTGCTAAGGTGGAGGCTGTAAGAAGTCCATCAGAGTGGCAAAATCCCATAACTGGGATAAAATCTTGGATATTGCTAGTTTTATTTGTTCTTAGAGATATTCAGAGGCTGTGGCTGCATTCCAGGCGCAACTTTTGCTCACAGAATGGAGTTCAATTCTCCCTTGCAAGGGGGGGAAAAGAAAACTATGACAAAAATCCAAAAATAATGAAGAAGAAAACAAATGGAGAACACTGAATGCCATTAGTTTAATGGACTCTAATGTTCCTACCATCTGTCTTGAGATGATTAAGTAAAAAATATCACTGGTGCAGACGGCGTGGAGTATAAATAAATGTTTTAATTCTGCTCCCTCGTATAATTATTCAAACACGTCTTTGTCTCTGAAGTGTGAAGTTTATTGCAATCAACAGAGGAGGCCTTCTGTGGTTCCAGGGAAGAGAGCGGCTTGAAAGAAAGATTGAAGCTTATGGATGAGTTTTTATCTACACCCTGGAGCCTTTGGGGGACATTGGCTCTGCTTTGCAAATCTTAGTACTCCCAGCTGGAAAAAAATTGCTGGTTGGGCCTTTTGAAATCACTGTTTGAACCCCTCCAGAAGCTGTGAAGGCGGGTCTACAGGAAGTCCCCCACAAGCAAGACGGAAAGTTGAACACCTTGTTATCACCTCATTCACTGTCAAGATCAAGGAGTTCTCTCCACAATCCAACTCCTCTGAATAATGCTAAGGTAAGGAAGGGTATTCCCCAAGTATCTGGCCCCTACTTGGATGGGGTGAGGGAGAGGAAGGCCACCAACATTGATTCTGGCAATGCTCCTGGATCTCCAATAGATGTGGGACAGGCAGGAATGTCTCGCAGGCCTTGTGAAAGCAGAGGAGGAAACAGGACCGTTGCAATAGAAACACCTCAGCCCAAGGAGGAGGGGAGCCTGAGAGAGAGACTCAGAGCAAATCCACCTTAATTACGCTTGGTATAAGTTGATCTGAAGTACTGCTTTGACAGGCTTTCAAGATTCCCTTACCTCGCCCTACGAGCAATAAAGATCTTTCCAAAAGACAAGTGATCCTTGTTTCTTGAGATTGCCTCCTTGAAGAGCTTGACGCAGCTGCTCAACAGGTACAGCAGCCCTTGTTACTGCATTGGTTGGAATTGTTCTGAACCTTGATTGTTGCATTCATAGCGTTTACTGCTGTTTTTAACCTGGTTTTGTTCCTTTCTGCAGTGCCTCAAGCGGTCCATGAGTGGAAATGTGATTTAGAAATACATCAGACGAATAAATAGCTTTCTCTGCCTGCAACGCCACTGTAGAAGACAGAAGCACCAACAGGAAGACAGTGGAAGCGCTGAATTCCTGCTCATCGGGAGACCCCGCCACCTCCTCTCCATCCTCTGCAGGCCAACGTTCAGCGTTACTGAACGCACAGCACCAAGCCCTTCCGGAACCCTGCACAGGATCACCGTTTCCCCTTCTTTCAGCCTAGCAAGGAGCAAAAGGGAGCCAAACACTCTTTGCCTCCAGGCAACCAGCAGAAGCAATAATGTTGTCGATGCAAATAGAGGCTCTTCCCATGCAGGAAGGAGAGAGAGAGAATTCTAGGTTCAATTCAGAGAATACAAGGCCACAAGGCCTTGGAGACCACAAGACACTTGAGAAATTCTCAGGCAGCACCTTAAGTCAGGACTGGAAGCCGTCCTACCCCACCCTCAGTCCCAGGCAGATGCTGTAGGGGTTAAGTCCAGACCAGGCTCGCCCCCCCGCCCCCAGACCTGCTTCTGAAAGAAGGCCAACGCAAGCCAGGCCCAGGCCACCAGATGCCAGCAGTTGGGGCAGACGGGTGAAGTTTATTGCTGGAAGAAAAGTGAAATATTCCTCTTGCCCGCTGTTGTTCTTGCTTCGGAAATAAAAGATGTGCTAGTCTTATCATTATAGCACAGCCAACGTTTATGCCAACCTCTAAACTTGGATGTGGCCTCTTAATAGCAGGGAGGAAAGAGAAAAAAATCCAAGATATGGCACTGGCTTGGCTTTCTGGAAGTCCACGGGACGTTAATTGAGCTGATGTAAGTGTTCCACTGGTGAAGTGTGAGTTCTTGAAATCAAATGTTTGGGTCACTGGAAGATGATGGAGTTCAGCTGGGGTGGAACAAAGCTGTACCCATTCTGGATGTAAGCACAGAGTCGAGATCTAACATAGTTCGGTTCATACGTTGCATCACGGCTTGTCTTGGTCCTGGTCCACTGAACAAGCCATACACAGCCTGCTTCACACCATACAATCAGTGAAAACCAGGTGAACTGAACTGGTGCTTAGTATGATCCACAAATCTCGTCTCCCCCAAGACAAAGCAACTCCAACAGACGGGGCACCTCTTCATTTTCTGATAACTTGCCCTCAGATCAAGCTCAGGTTTTTATGTTTTTCTCCAGAAGGTGGGAAGATCTCAATGCAGCACAACATAGTCAGGGAACTCTGTCTACATACAATAAAAATACACCCTGGCCTACCTACAAGACTCCTGACTTTCAGCCAATTCTGAAAGAAATGTGAGTGAAAAGATGCAGCGACGCCCTGCTGCAAAGGGCATGGGGGAGAAGGCTACACTTGGCCTCTTCACCCGCAGCCTTCAGTGCCCGAATAAACGCTTCCAAAGCGTGCTTTCGAAAAGCGATCCTGCTGGAGAACAAATGCACGTCCCTTTCACAATGCCATCTACCTCGGCAGACTTCAAAGGGTCAGTTTTGTGAAATTACAATAAGCTGACAAGGAAGCACAAGGGACGCTAAATTATTCAGCTCTCTCAATTGCTCTGTTACCAGCGTGCAACCAACTTGCATTCTCTTTGGGGCCGTTGCTTTTTCGCAAAGGGCGCACAAGCGCTACCGAGCATCTTCTCCTCCTCCGTCGAAAGAGCAGGTTCTTCATGCAAGAGAAAGAAAAGAGGGGAACACAGTCGAACCAAGACAATGTCTCTATTGTAGCTACGGTTTCCAACCCAGGAGGAGGAGGAGGAGGAGGGGCTGAAAGGGAGCTGCGCGGATGGAGAGCCACCCGCAGATTGCCAAAAGCCGATGCCCCCCATCAGCTGAGGGAGGGCATTCATTCGCTTCCCCCTTCCTCTGGCCCAGCCCTGCCGCCTTGCATTCCTGCACATTCAGATGGTTCAAACATAGACAGAAGGCGCTTTTCTCTTGGAAAGAAAGCTGAACTTTTCAGAGGGGCTGAGCAGCCTCCAGAGAAGAATCTGCAGAGTTTGGGAAAAATGATGAGTTCAGGAAAGGCATGGAAGTTGAGGCCAGTCAAGAAAAGACAAATCCAGAGGGCTCAGCTCAGAATTGAGCTATCGCCCCACCATGTTTGCTCCTCCTCGGAACTGGAAAAATGCCCCAAAACATTGTTAACTATTCCCCTTGTTTAATATGGTTTCCCCATATCTAACTTTCCCTCAAAACATATATTCAATGTGAATATATTAAGGTTGGATTGCAATGGGAAATCCAAAATCTGGTGAGAAGTGAAGTTCTAGCCAGAATTGCTGGCTGGGACCGGAGATCAGGTCATTCCATGAGGGGGTTGGCCAAGATCACATTTCTCAGGGGCCCAAGGGGTTGGTTTGTCCTCCCAAAGACCAGGAGGCCTCGTCGTCGTCCTCCAGATGAAAAGGCTACAGGCCAAAAGGCCACTCTGAGCTGAGCTGCAGAACAAGGAGGCAGGGCAGAAGGTTGCAAGTCAAAGATGGTTGTGCCTCCTCCATCTTCTGCCTTGCTCCCCCTGGGCTTTGTCCTGGCTGGTTCGTCCAAAGACAGGAATTCTTCCTTAAAACCCAACATTGAAATGGGCAGAATGGGGACACGTAGTGAAGAAGCGAAACAGGCATGGCCAAGGTTTGGAAAACAAGCAAAGAGGGGGCCAGGACCTTTGAGAACACAGTGAGACAGGCTAGCCCACCCCTGGGGAGACAGGAAGTCTATTCTGGACTTTCTTTGGGAGGCTCCTGTCTCACCTGGTAATAAGAGCCCCCAGACAGCTTAAGGAAGCGGCATTCTTGCCCTTGCAAGGTGATCTCCCCTGCAGAACAGAACAGCCAACGAAAGGGAAAGGGAACGTTGCCTCGGGGCCAAGGCCCTGGCTGAGTGGCCAGCTGAGCTTTGACTCACTGACTGAACAAGGAGCGTGCTCACGCGTTCCACTTCACGCAAGGCAGGCAGAGTCCGAAGGCTGCTCCACCCAGCCCAGAAGATGGTGGCCTTGCCCGACGCTCCCAGGACCCAAGAAGCAACAGGAAGGGGGGTGAATGACTTTCATTATGCAATCAGGATTCATTCTCATTAGGCAACCATGGATTTTGCATTTTGAGTACACTTTAATCCTACACAACACCCTTCCACAACCTGGTGCCCTCCAGATTACTGGAACCAAGTCCCATGATCCCAGTCATTTGAGAGGGCACAGCCTCAGTCTCTCAAGAGAACTGAGC